TCTGGCAAGCTGAGCAGAGTGTTGCAAACTCAGCCTCATGCAGATATTACAGAGCTCTTAGCCTGGAGCTCACTTCTGCATGGATACCTCTGATGCAGAAATGCTTTCAAAGACTTCTTAACTTTTTTCTTCTCTTTTCCAGTTTCGCATCTCCACCATTCTCACCGTATCTCTCATAGGGATATCCATTATTTTAATGTTGATACTCTTATCGTTACTTTGGAAGCGTAAGTACCACTTAAGCACTTTTATCTTTTAATGTTTCCAATGGTGGCCTAATGCAGATATCCTTCTGTATCTCTGATGAATCCTCTGGTAGATCTGCCATGGACTGTATAACAGCACTCAGTTCATTTTATGGAGCTGCTGTCCATAGCCCAGGACTGTGTCACCATGGGGATGAGGTAGGGATGCAACAGGAGGAAACCTGTGCAAAGAACCCAGCGCTTGTCAAGTTCTGATTCTCACTGAGGGCTCTTATTCTTAGTAATGTGGTCCTACAGTTCCTTGGAATTGTTCCTGGTGAACACTGATGTAGCTTAGAATGAGATCCTTTCTTTCCTGCTTAGCTCACAGAAATGTTGCAGCTTGGTGTCTTTGCTTCTGAACTCATTTGACTGATTTGGTAGAATGGTAGATTTCTTTTTTGTCATTGTAACAATATGATTTTGCTTCTAGGAAGACACACAAGAAAATTTATTATGAAAAGGTAATCCATTTTATAATTTTCTATTAAAAGTTCCAACATATTTTTTCTTAGAAACAGAAATTATTTGCCACTAATTGTAACAGGTACAGTACTGGTCTGTGAGGCTGATAATGTAAATTTTCAGACAACTTCACCCCAGAAAATCAAACAGTGGTTTCTGGAAACTTCCCATATGTAGTATTGAACAGAACCCAGAGCACTGGGGAAGGTTAGCAGCCGACACTGGGACACAGTGACCCCACCTTAAGAAAATTCCTTGCCTGCATTATTCTTTGACCAAATGGAATCATAGAATGGTATAGGGAGAGGCCTTAATGATCATCCCTGCCACAGACAGGGTAAATCCTAGTGCATGAGCCTGGTGAGGCTGGTTTAAATCAAGCAAGATGTAAACAGTGGGAAAAAAAGGACGTTTTTTTTCTCATTTGCTCATCTTGGCTCAGAAAGGGATCAGAGATTTACAAACAGTCCTCCATGAAGTAGCAGTCCATTCCAGTAGACAAAAAAAAAACAAAAAAAAGGGCCCAGGAGGGACACAGTGCAGTAGCATGGCAAACCAAACCTTCCACCAGTGGGTAAATCTTGCAGCCCTCATGGGGTCACTGCACCCGGTCACATCCTCCTTGAGTCACACAGAAGTATAGCAGGTGACCACTGAGGTAATCATTTTGAAACAGATGTGGAATATTTAGGTATGATGAATCACCCAGGGCACATATTCCTAATAAGCTCATGTTTTCTGGCTTGACTTGAACACAGGACTTCTTCTAACCAAATAGGGCTGTCCATTGGAGTATCACCCTTTGCCAGTACCAATACTTTTTAAATAGTAGATTGTCTCCCAGTGCATATTACACTAAGATATGAGGGCTGGGGGCCAAGGAAGGGCTCCTTTCTAAACCCCATAGTGTTTATCTGGCAGCTGTCACTATAAGATCTGAGCAGGCCTTTCCTAATTGTTAGAATGATGCATGCAAGGTAAATACTTCATAGTGTAAATAAGTAGACCTTTTGCCATTGAAATCAATGGACTCAGTAGCTTCTGGTCTCTGTTTCAAGGGGAGTGTGCCAACGTTGCAAATAAGAAAGGTTGCTCTGAAGCATCAAAGTACTTTTGCCCCATACATACTGATCTGTGCTTATCACTATAGCCTTAGACCAGCTGAAGACCTTGAAAAAGTTTTCAGTGGCTCTGAAGGAGAAAACAACCTTTTTGTTCTGTGAAGAGCTCCTGCATCATCAGTGGATGGCCTGGAATAAAGCACAGCTGCACTGCAAATAGAAAGGACCTGTTTCAAGCTGCATCGAGAGACATTTGTGAGCCCTTAAAATATCAGTGGGTGTAAACCAAAGGCCAAAGCTTCAACTATGAAAATTTAAAATCTTTGTGCAAATTTTGCCATCTCACCTTTAAAGCGCACTGTATAAAGAAGCTTCTTTTAGAGTATGCATTATTCAGTAGCATTTCTGGGATCTGTGTTCTTGTTAATACCAAATTAAATGTTTTTCTCTGAGTTTTACTAATGCTTTTCCTTGAATACAGCTCAGTCTTTGGGGAACAGAAGAAATATCAGTGAATGCTTCTTAACTTTGAAGTGCAAAGAAATATACAAACCAGCAAATACAAAGTTTCTTATTGCTTTTATATAATCAAGGGAAAAATTAAGCCACAGGAATGCCTTAAGAATAAATAAAGATGTAGATCACTTCAGGGGTTCCAGTGCTGCCCTTGATTCAGCATGTTCAAGTGACCCTTGGAGGCTACGCTAATAAACTTTGTAATCTACCACTAGAAATTGCATTTTTTATGCCACATCCTAGAGCACTTAAGCAGGAGTTAGTTATTCCCCAGGTGCTGAAATGACTGGTGTGCTATCTCAGCTCTCCAAAGAAGTGCTGCAGCATTTCCAGAGATGGAAAATGACCCAGAAGTCCAACCCCATAACATTCCCCACCACTCATTGGTAAATTCATGTCTCCAGCAGCGTGCACAGGGGATCTCCACTCATTTGAATACATTTGCCTTTTTGTCCTCATCATGACAAGCTGCAAAATGGTGTTTCAGCTGGGTTGAGATTTAGGCTCTAAAATATAGCTTGTGTTGATGGTCTTGCCTGGCAGGGTCAGTGCAGAGTGGCTGGCTATGGGGTCTTGCTTGGAGGAGGGGTCGTCTGTGGGATGCATCGTTCATCTGTGTCACTGAAGTCCTCAGCAGCTCTGTGGGATCAGCACAGGAAATGGTTCAAACCCATTACCTCCATTGCCTGCAGTTGTCAATCCCTGCTACAGCAACTTCAGGAAAGGAGCCCTTGAGCTGAGAGCATGTGATGGAAGCATCATTTGAGCAAAATGTGGCAGGCCTGGACTTCCCCTCCAGTCACACTTGAGGCTGCGGTGAGAATTTTATCTCTACAGCATATCTTCCCAGCCCACATGTGGCTGCATGAGTTCTGTGGAGGCAGAGGAGGTTCCTCTGTGGGCTCCTGCTCAGTCTTGCCTGGGTTCAAGACCCTGCTGAGTATACTGGTCCTGCATTGCTGGACCATGCAGTTTTTATGCTTTCCTTTATGAGAACACAACCAAAATAGCTGGCTTTGTTTTATTTTTTTTTTTTTTCTTCCAATTAGCAGGACTGGGCCAATCCATTTGCAGGTATTAATTAGCTCTGCACTGAAGACTTCTGCAGAGCAGGGTTGGCTGCTGGTCTGGAAGGTCCTGCTGTGGGGAGATGTGGAAGGGCAGAAGAAATACGAGCTAAGAAAGTGTGTTTGATCCTCTAAACATAAAGCACTGAAGCCAAGAAAACCCTTTTGTGAGCATCCTCAAACAAATAAAAGCTGTAAGGTCCTTCAGTTACTGGTGCTTGGGGATGGGAAAACTTGGAGAAAAGCAGCCCTGCAGTTGCTGTAGGGCTTGTGCTGTTGTTTTGTAGGGTACTTGTTGTGGTGCTTGCTGTGCTTGCCAATGCAAGCCTCCCTCCTTCATCAAAATGGTGAATTAAATTGTGTGAAGTGGATCTGATGTGAAGAGATCATGACTGAACCACTCAATTAGTGTGGAGCAGGTACAGAAAAGCAGTTAAAAAGGAATGATCTGAGTATTTTGGGACATGAGATTGGCTAGTGGAAAAAAACAAACAAAAAACAAACAACGACTGGAAGAAACAATGAAAAACAGAGGTGGACACTGAGTTACAAGTACAAATCCTCTAAAGAGAATTCCAAGGAAAGAATTAAGTATCATTCTGAGATTAATGAGACCTCTCTTAATAGACTTTACTGGAGCTGACTGCTCTGATGGTCCCTCTCCATCTCAGCAGAATATTCCATTATGTCTCAGGGTTTGTTCCTCAGCGTTAATGTGCTTTTCTAGGCATTTTTTAAGGTTAATATAAATAAATCTCTGGGTTCCAAAGGTGGATTCTAATTGGAGCTTAAGAAGGAGCAAACAGAAGAGAAGAATGCAGTTGAGTACATAGGAAATTAGAAATAAGAATAAATAGCATCATGGGACTTGGGGAAAGTACAGAGATAACTGTGCCATGTGAGATGAATGCACGAAAAAGTGGAAAATTTTAGTCGGATGGAAAGAGGATTTGGGACGTGCTGCTGCAGACATGACAGCAGATGGCAAAGTTGAGCTGCAGAGAAACAGCTGAACTAATGTAAAGGGGCTGTGGAAGTGATGTACTGAGATTAAGGAGAGGGGGGGCTCCTGCAGGGAATACTTTGGTGGGAAGGATCATTTCCTGCCCTTTGGCAACGTCAGCTTAAGGGTTAACACTGGTTTGAAGCTGAGGGTGCAGGAGAGATGCAACCTGGAGTGGGCAAAAAGCATTGGGAAGACTGGGGAGGAAGATATTGAGGAAGACTCCTTAGCAGTCTGGTGGGATACGACAGAGGGAAATAGTTTCAAATATTGAAACCAGGGGAGATTTAGATTGGTTATAAGGAAAAGTTTCTTACAGTAAAGACAGTGAGGCAGTGGCACAGGTTGCTAGAAGGTGGTGCTCCATCCCTGCAGACAGCCAAGGTCAGGCTGGAGGGCTTTGAGCACCTGGTGGAGCTGTGGGTGTTCCTGTTCCGTGCAGGGGGGTTGGAGCAGTTGGCCTTTAAGTGTCCTTTCCACCTCGGGTGATTCTGTGATTCTGGTATCAGCTTTAATATTTGAGATGCTGACCCTTCTCCAAGGGGAAGGAAATCCACCCCTTCCCCAAATGGAAGCCTTATTTTCTTCTTTCTTAGAAGAAGTTGCTTGTTCTGCTGCAATTTCAAAAAAATGCTCACAACTTTTTTTGAATCAAGAAAAGGTGTTTTTTTTTTTTTTTGTATTTTACTTTTTAAACATGTAGGAAAAGGGGAGAAAGATCAATTATCCAAACCAGGTGTGTGGGAACTGTTGAGTCACAGGCTGAACCACTGATTGAGCAGCTGGGAAAGGACCCGGTCAGCCCTGGGAGCACAGGTGAAGGCAATTTAGTGCTACCAGAAGGGTTGGAGCCTGGCTGCACCTCTCTTAGACCTTATTTAAGGGCTGACTGCCAGTGGGGAAAGATCTCTTTCTGCAGATCCCTTCTTGGTGAAGCTTTTCCCTGTGAATCTGGAATCTTCTGTTGTAGGTGAGCAATCTTCTTCCCTTCCTTTCTGTTGTGCCAGTCCTTCCATCATCACACCTTTGTTGTAACGCCTTTCCTATCGTATTGATCTAATAGCTGCAGCAGGGAACAATCTGTAATTATGTAATCTGAAACAAAAAGCGTGGAGGCCTGGCTCCTCAAGTCCTCAAGTCTTGAATACTCAGACTTGCATATTATGAAGATTCATGGCTTCAAATTTACTCTCAACTACTGGAGTGAGTGTCATTCTTAACTAAGTCATCCAGTAGTTATACACACCACAAAATCATCTGCGTGTTTAATGTAGAGCAGAGAATTTCTATGGAGAAATCTATAGCTTTTAATTCAGTGATGAATCATTTATGGGATTTTGGATTATTCACTTTGCACTGAATTGAGTTGTCTCTTTCACAAAGACCACCCCCCCCCAACGTGCTCTGTGTCACAGACTGAGCCCCGTGGTGATGTATGTTGCTGGGATGAATTATTTATTGGATGTTTTAAATCACTTGTTCGGTGGTGAACTAAGTCAGTTAATTTTAAATGTGCTCATATCTATTCTTAAGTGCACAAAATGACTTTACATACACAATATTCATCTCTCTTTCTTCTTTCCTTTTGTGTACAATAACGATTTATCCATGAGGTTTGGGTTGAGCTAGTTTTGGATGTGATCAAACTTTCCTTTGAGGGAGGCAGTGACTTGTCCTGGGGGTTTGCCCCACCTGTTCTTGGGCCTGGTGTGCAGCAGGTGTGTGCACGAGCCTATCAACTCTCAGCTGCATCTTATTTCAAAAACACAGGGAAGGGATCACTATTTCTTAGCATGTAGTGCACAAGATGCAGTTCTCTCAATCCTCAAGAAGTTCAGCAGTGAACTTCTCAATGGATTGTATCAATAGTACTGAGAGCAGGGAAATTCCCATAGATTTCTGTGATCAAACACTGATTTTATTTTTTCTCTTGACCTGCAAGGCTCAGCGGATAATGGGGACGGCTCTTTGCTAGGGCTTTCCTGTGAGCACTGCTTCAAGGACAAGGGAAAATCAGCCTCTTCACTGACTGGTGAGTTGATGCTGCTTTTGAATTTTACTTGGTGTTTTATGCCCTTGGTCCATTATCTAATGAACATTATGATGAGGTAATTATGGAAATACGCAAATTGCAACCTCATGAATACCAAAGAAATTCATGATGATCCATGCTAAAAGAATGCATAAAAATGCAAATCATTTGTAAATGGGTAGTAGTAAATCTTGTTAATATTAATAACGTGGAGCTTTTAATTGCATCAGCCCTCTGAGGAGAGTTTTTAAGACTTTATCCTGTGAACTGTGTACCACGAGGTCAAAGGGAGCTCTTACATGGCTCTGTTTGGTGTGTAGTTACCCTTGGCTCCTTCCATAGCTGAGAGAGGGGGAAGGACACTGGTCCAGAACATGATGCAGCCCTCCCAAGAGGAAGTGAAGCCTGCCCTGTGGTGGGAGAGCTCCTGAACTCAGTAGGGCATTGTTAATTGTGTGCAACAACCTGGAATCATGCCATAAGGACTTACAGTGTAGTGTGACTTTGTCTATAAAGTTAGGTTAAATAGCATTGCTGGATGGATGCGTCCCAGGACTAACTCTGGACCCCAAATATCATTGATATGAGCATCTCTGTGGCATCTGTATCACAGCACAGAATCTGGTAGAGATGGGGAGCATGATCTCCATGCCTGTGTCTGAGATTCAACTGTAGCACCAGCAAAGCACTCAGGAAGGACGACTGCAAAGGCCACGGCTGAGTGAGCTGGAGATGTGGGTAGGGGGTGACTCAGTGCCTCTGCTTTCCCCTGAAGCACTTCTGCTGTGGTTGCTTCCTTCGGAAGGGCTTTGTGAGGAGCAAACCCTTCCAGTGCTGAGGAGAGAAGTAGCAGGATTGCTAAGTTTGATGAGAGGTGCCCAAATGAATGTATGGGTTATGAAGCCTAGGGAGGTCCTGTGACAGCAAAATATTGACAAATTTTACAGTAGCTGAGTGTTCAGTAGAGTTCATGTTTGATTTCATCAGCTCATTTTTCTATCTTCTGTAGTTCATTCATTTCCTGTCATTAGCTGAGTTATTTCTTGAAATAATTTTATTATACAAAGATACTAGATAGTGCATTCAGACATGGTGCCTGCAGCTTCACAAATCCTGATGGAAGAGAGAGGAATATTCCAAGAGAAAATGTCATGATTTACTGCTTATAAACAGCTCTCTGGGTCTTATTATCTTTTCTGTGTAGAAGCCTGGAGATCTAGATCGAGCTTTATAATTCACATCAAAATTCATTGTATCACATGTCTCCCGTAAAGCCACGTTTTTTTGAATGATACGGCAAACCCTATTAAATAGGTACTCATTAAACTCCAACACCTTATAAATTCTTCCTGAGTTTTGTTGACAGTACACATCAAACACAAAGCATTAAGTGCTTTTCATTTTCCTGGTAGTGTGCAATCATAATGCATTACATGACAAAATAATGTGTTTACATGACAGATTTAGTGCTTGATCTGCTGCATGAAATGCTTCTGAGCACCAGAAGATAAGAGAAAAATGTAACATTATACTTCCAAGTGTATATTAATTCTTAACTAATAATAAATTACACCAGGATGCTGATGGAAACAGATGAGAGAGCAACACACACATGGGAGGAATGCATGAGGATCAGTGACATGGCAATGAATACTAAATGCAGACATCATAACTGGAGCTAAAATGAAGCATTTCTGCATCAGCAAGAGAGCTCCTAGAGCCTGTGGGCTCTGTGTGTTTTCTTCTTTTGCATCTTGAAAGCCCATACTGGATTTCAGCAAAGTTCCTGTTAGTCTTACCATCACTGGTCCCTCCCACCTGAAATGGTGGCTCTGAGCATGCAGCTTCTCACCCTTTCAAGGCATTTGGTGCCAAAAGTTCATTTTTTTTCCTTTTGATAATTCTAAGGAAATTATTTTATCTTTTTAATGTTTTTCTTCCAATTTTTCATCATAATTTGGCCACAGTGCTACTGGTCCACTGCCAGCCCTTTCCCTCCTCAAAACTGTACCGTAATTCACAATTTAGCAGGCATTCAGCACCGACAGATAACTGTCATGATGTTGAATTTGGAATTTCAAGAGTGATATTCAGCCACTTCATGAGTTTGCAGTAGGAGGGTAGCTGTGTCTATTAATCTTTAAAAAGAACCCAAATCTGTGTGTTTTATTGCAAGTGGGAGCTAAGGCAGAATTGGTATGTGGGAAAACAATGCTATAATAATGACATACAATCAAAGGGAGGATAATAAACCCGCTAGTTCTCTGTATTTGCTGGGGGAGTTTGCTGGGGAGCAGGAGCTGAGGCTTGCTTTAACTACAGACAGCTTTCTCCTTTCTGTTTTTATGGCTTTCTCAATCACTTTGCTCATCTGCTGCTGGAGGCTTTTATTTGCTGATAAGGGCTGTTAACCAGTTGGAAAGTCAGACCAATAAAGTTATGTAAAATGCAGCCAGCAGCTTTTGGCAGGAAACAGGCATGGTGCTGGCAGTGAGGGAGGAGATGAGAGGGCTTCTTCCCCTCCTGTTGGAAAGGGAAATGTCCTGGGGAGGAGGGAACCAGTTGCAGTGTAGCAGTGATTGACACGTGCATAGTCTCTGTTCCTTGGCCTCGTTTGGTGCTGATGGAACAACGAGTTTCTTTTCCTTATTCTGTTCCTCCATTTCCAGAGAAATTTCTACAGGCTTCTTTCATGGGGAAAGGAGTAACAGATGCTGGTTTGCAATGGGAGGGGGCTCGGGCTGCCTTGCCACAGTGCAGTGCTGTGAGCTGCAGCTCTTAGCAAGGCAATGACCAGTTGAACTCCAGGAAGACTTGGAGATAAATAAGTGCTTCCTTCAAAGTGACTTTGTATTACCTTTCCTTGCCCAGATGCAACAATGATAGAAATGGAAAAAGTACCTGATTTTCAACAGTTTACCTTTGAGCAGACCTCAGAGTTGTGTCCTTGCAAGCCTGGATGCAGGCAGTTGTGTTACAGCAATAGCATTTATTTCTACCTTAAAACATTCTAGAAGCATAGAATTAAATCTGTGTGGGCTTCCCAGTGTGTCTGTAGGTGCTGAAAAAGTCACAGGCCTTACTGAGAATTCAGATTTTGTTGTTTATAACCTGTGTCTGGCATTGTGATCTTATTTCATGGCATTTTGCCTCTGAGATGGTATTTCTAACCTCTAGAGCTCTGCATATGATGCTAATGAAAAATTCAAGAGGAGAGCTCTAAGAGTTTGAGTTCTGAAAGGAATGCTTGGTATGGAAAGCTGGAGCGTAGGGCTGAACGTGCCTTTTTGTTCTGTACCTTATTGTTCACCCCACGCAACTCCACACGCTTGGGGCAGAGTGACTGGGAAGTCGCACGGAGGTAAAAGGAGCTGGGGGTGTTCATGAACATGAGGCAGCAGTGGGTTGGGTGGCCAAGAAGACCAATGGCCACCATTGGAATGGATGCCAATGGTCTTCTTGGCTTATGTCAGAAATAGTGCAGCCAGCAGGCTGTCCCTCTGTGAGGCTGCACTTCTGGTGCTGTGTTCAGTCTGACCCCTCGCTACATGAAAGACATTAGGCCCTGGAGCGTGTCCAGAGAAGGACAGCAGAGCTAGGAGGGGTTTGGTCTTGTCTCTTGTCCTAGGAGCTGGGGATTGTCTTCAGACCCTGTGTTTCTCACCAGCTGCGTGGAGATCTCAGTTACTGGGATATGGCAGCTTCTAGTATTCATACATCAGTTTCAAATCTCACCTCCATTTGGTCATCGTTTGAGAAATGATCAGCATCAGATTTGACAGAACTGTTTCAGTTTCCCTTTTCTCTTCCAGAATCCTCTTGTCCTGAAAGAAATCTGAGAAATTTTGTAGCATCTTCTTGTAAAGCCTCATCTCTTTCAGATCGCGTGTGGTAGAAAGGTATCTCCCTACCTACTGAGCTGCTCTTACTCCAGAGAAATTTTTACTTACCCAGTTAGAAATACGAAGTCAAAACTGATTATTTGGTGTGGAAATCATTCTACTCTGATGCTACAAAAGGTGAAGTTTGTGTGAATCTTGGCTCACGGTAGAAAAGTCCAGCTTTGATGCTTTTTTTCTTCCTTGTTTCTTTCCTGAAAGTGGTATGAGCTTGAGGAACAGAGATGCTCATGAAGCTGTTTTGTGATAGGTGGTCCAGCTCCTGCAGGAGAGCCAAGTAAGGCATTTGCTGCGAAAGCTCAAAGGAGTTTTGCCCTGGTGTTTGCTATGGTTATGCTCTATACCTACTTGCTTATGTGTTCTGAGTTGTTCCCCAAACTGCTGTCGCATTCTCTAGCAGCCTGGAATTTAGGTGTCATGTATTGGGATGAAGTAGTAGGGAGCAGTTGCTGCCCAACCGACTGGCTGCTGCTGTCCTACCTGCTGTGCTTGCTCTGCTCACATGCTGTCAGATTTCCTTGGTTCTTTCATAATATGGAAGACCACTTTCCAAACAGTGGTCTCATAACTCTGTATAACATTAGAGTTGAAAGCAGTGATTAATAAAAACATATGTGAACCTCACTTTTGCTCTAGTATGAATCCTTTCAGAAAGAGTATAACCAGCGAGTCTGCCCACGTGCAATGATGCATGCAATGGGGTCCTTTCTATAGCCTCTGTAGGAAGGATTTGAGATCTCTTTAGCTGATATTACATTTTTCTGATGGAGACTCATTAAAAATTGATCACTTTTTTTTTTTTTTTTTTTTTGCAGGCTCCACTACTTTCCTGCTGGGGCTATTTATGTAGGAGTAGACTTAAACATCTCCTATTTACTCATAAATTATATTGACCTGGTTAAAAATCCATGCCATTTTCAGCAAAATCTGTTCTGTTTGCAAATAAGGCATAAATCTACTGACTTCAGAAAGCTTTTCTAAGATGTCCTCACCTGCTGCACCACTGTGGCCAAGGCAAGCTAGAAGCTAAGCCTCTTCCTCACCCAAGCTACCAAGTTCTATTAGTGTTGTTTTTTCCCCAGGTGCTAGAAATTTGTGCTT